TCTGACAGGTCTTACACACGTGACCAATGCGGACAATCTCGCCACTGGTTCAAAAGCGCCTACTGGCCTAGACTCAAAGACCTCCGCAACAAATTAAATCTCAGCCGAGCAACAAACATGGGAACCGTACACATCCTTTTCAGTTCAGAATGCGGGATATGATAACCCTGAGCATCCATTTTAGCCTACACATAGAATGGACGGTTTGCAGAGCCCGAGCGTGGTAAAGGGCAGTGTAGGCCAGGCGTCTGCTGCTGGGAGCTGTGCAGGCTCCTCCTCGGAGGAGTCAGCGTCCTGTTGGCAAAGGAGGCTTGGAGCCAAGCTGCATGGCAGTCCACAGGGTCTTTCACCGGGAGCCTGTGCAACCTTTGACCACAACTCCAAGTCCAATGCTCAAATGGGTGTGGCTCAAAATTAAACAGGAGGGGTTACGAAGGTTTTGGGCCATGTTTCCACTTACCAGGGTTGATTTTGGTACCGGTCTTTTGAGCCACAATCAGAATGATAGAATTCCCGGGCCCAGGAAGTGCTCCGCACAAATCGCTGCATCCCAGTCCTCGATCACTGGCCCGGCCAACTCATCGGCAGCTTCTTGTGGGGCTGGCGCATCTGCTGCGGCTCGTAGCCTGGAAGGTATCGCCGGGTGCCGTCTCAGAAGGACCTGCCTTCACGACGTCACTCAATCTGCAAACAATCCAAGTACTGACCAACAACAAGGCGTCCACTCCATTGCTGAGTGGGGGGGGGGGGCACAGCTGTTGCCGTTTGGGAAACAAATGCGCTTCTGGCAAGTTCAGAAGGGTCTGGATTGAAGAGCACCTTGTACCAGGGTAAAAGTAGATGGCACAACACCCTTTATGTCCAAGCCAAAATGGGGGAGCTGTGCCATCTACATTCGCCCAACTGTTGCACAACGGCTTGAGCTGTGTCAGGGATCCAGCTTGCAGAATTGGCCAGGTCTGGGCCCAGCTTTGTTTTGCATCGCATGAGCCGCACTTTATCTCAGCTGGTCAACTGGCCAAGCGGAAGGATCATCAAGCCTTGACACTCTCGTTTACTGCCGGCCGCTTTTGGTGACCTTCGCCAGGAACAATGGAATGCTTTGACCCGCTTATTGAGTGACTTCTTTTGTCAGATCCGCAACTGCCCTGGCAGCGGGAAAAAGAAGGCATAAAAGGCAAAGGGCTTCACCTTTGGTTGGCCCCCCATGACTTTCAAGCGAGCCAAAGGCGAACCCTAGTAATAAAGGAGCCTGCAAAGACTGAACCGGCGGCATGATTAATTAACCCTTAGATTGATGAAGTGGTGGTCCCATATTGGAGCGACTCCTCATCCTTTACTTTTGAAACGAGGACAATAACTCGCCATTCATTCGTAAGGTTGGATGCTCACATGGGTCGGCTTGTGTGCTTTCTCTTCCGCTTCCTTTCGCAATCGCACAGGGTTCGAACTCAAACACCTAATGGGGGCCCTGCAAATTCACATTGGAGAGCAAAACGAAGGTCCCGGTTCCGTTCCACAAAAATAATAAGCCTTTTTGGGAAAAAGCGACAGTTTCAAGCAGTCTCCAATAAAGTGGGTGCTCTGTTGGTCACTAAAAGCTTCTCAGGTACCCCGAAAGAATTTCCTGCTCCTGACAAATAGCCATTGTTCGTTTGAGTTGTGATTGGTCTTTGAGAACATCGGACACCATTGTTTGTTGGCATTTCCGGGGGAAGCATCATTCCAGGCCGGGTTTCTCAGTTGCAGGATTTCTTCCATCCAATTTAATTAACCAAATGCGCGTGGCTCCTCCCTCCCTCCCAAAAGCGTCCACGCCTGGCCGCAGACACTGCCGCCGCGGCGGCCGCGCCGATCGCGGCGACCGCGCCCACGGGCCCCGCCGCCGCCACAGCGGCATAGCCCAGGGCGCCGCCCACAGCGCCGAAGGCGCTGCTGGCAGCGACGCCACCCCAGCGCCAGGCCTCATGATCAGCAGACCACGGGGCTGGATGGGCCGACCACAAGAAAACATGTTTGCTTGGCTTGTTTCTTGTTTCTTTTTTTGTCAAGGGGTGATTCACCATTATCTTCATCTTTGATAGCCCTGCATTGTGAACTTCTTCCGTGGGTTGGGCCCATCTTTCCAAAAAAGGGAGGCCTCCCACAGATGAGAGCACTTTGCGCCTTCCGTTAAAAAACCAGTCGAAAAGTTTTAGCGCCTCTACAGATTTGATACCTGCCCAGTTTGTGTCAATGAGTTGGATCTGATTGGAGATGGTGTCAAAGGGAAAGGGACAAGGAACAAGGATGTTCCTTCCGTAAAACGGAAGCTCTTGTTAGTTCATTCTGCGGAGCTCATCAAATGACACCAATGTGATGATGCTGCTGGGAAAATCTAAAAGCGGCCGGCCACTACACACCAGGGCCCCCCATGACGTCAAAGACAACTGGATTCATTTCCCTTGAGCCGCGCTGCTGGCTGCGCTTCATCCTCCACTTCTTCAGGGGCAGGCTCCATGTCATCGCTGTACCGGACCCGCCACAAGTGCAATGCAGTAGTCTCTGGGTTGGTCTTACAGGCCCTGTCCAACAAAAACACGTTTTACTGGCTTGGTGGGAATAGCCCATGGAAGTTGTCCAGCGCCATTAGGGGATCATGTGACAGCAGAGGCATCAAACATAGGACATACTGCTCTTGCCTCTAGGATCCAAGGCACTGCGTGACGCCCTTTATCCTGCCAGTTGTCTGTTTGCCGGTTGTATTGGTGCGCTTGCCCGTCCCAAAAAGCCAACCACCCATGTTTGTGGCCATTTGCCGTTAAAACCAGCAACTGCAGTCTCGACTGAAGCTTCGCGCCACGCCCCAAATTCGCAACATGCCCGCCCTATGCCTTCTGAAGAGAAATGCCCCTTGCGCCCAACATACACCTGGATCTAATTTAGTTACATGTAAGTCATTCAAGTACATCTTGAGCAAGGGACGGGTGAAAGGAACACATAGGAAGGCACAATTTAGAACAAAACCAGAAGTGCCGGCTGCATGCAACAAGGTAACTGCTAGACGCATTAAGACCTTGGCATCACTGTTGCCACAGCTTTCATGAATGCCTGCCAACCCACAAACCAAGGCCAAAGCAAATATATCACAACATTTGACTCAGACTCTGCGTATCTGTCAGCTCCCTTGCTGTTCATTGGCAAGTCACACAGTTAAGTTAACTGGCTACCTCTCTCGAGTTGTGGCTGGTTGCAGGATTCGTTGAAATTCTGAACAATTGCTCGTCCCCTTATCATGTCTCCTGAGAGGGAGGAAAAAAAACATGACACATATATGGGTTGCTTAGCGCCCAACGCAATTTGTGTTGCACCACTCCCCGAAGCGCAGGGCATGGGCGCATCTCCAGGGCACGCATCAGGATGCCCACGCCACCGCCCTCATAGAGTACCTTAATGTCTGACCAAGCTAGTCACTATGGGCCCCTACCCGTCAAAAACCCCCCATCGCTGGATGTCCTTCTAGGGGCGAGCAGAGATTTGTGCTTTCACCTTCGCTGAATGCGCCCTGGCACTCTGAACATGGCTGTGCACTCAAAGGGTGTCGTAGTGAAAGCCTAAAACTGTGAACTGTACAACAACACCGCATGATTTGAACAATGGAGAAGTCACATGACATGCTAAGTGTCGTCACTCCGAAGTTGCATGCCGTTGCTGGGGAAACCAAGCCCCCCCCCCATATGAATCATATCTCAGCTTCGCAGCGGTTGGTTGAACACCACACCATAACCCTGCATAGCTGGCAATTGTGTGCTAGTTTTGACAAGTGCACTGGTCTTAAACGGCATTAACAGCAACTCCCCTGCAGCACAGAAGTCATTTCAGAAACTATGGGCAATCACAAATGCGCAGCATGAACAGTTGAGAGCATGCGCGTCCTGAGGTCATCACTTAAGCATTGAGTTACGCACGACCCTAGCACCAAGTTGTTTCCGTCCCTTGTTGGGTTCAAAGGCGTCTGGTCTTCCAGATTGAGGGGGTTCATACCAGGGGCTCGGAAAATGGACAAAAAATAAATCAGCCCTTGGCAAACAGACCGCCGACTGGTCCAGGCCTTGCGACAGCCTTCGTGGCCTTCTGCCACACTCGCCAGGAAGCCTGCTCTCACAAGCGGTTGTAGCTTGACTTACTTATCTTTGCGAGCTTCACCGTCGATACCCTAGTAACTGTCCTAGTAGTGATGTCCGTTCCTCCTATAGTGCTACTGCTCGTGTATTGTGGTTGACCCTTGTGCCAAATCCTTTGCTCCCGAGCGCCTGCAGCATATGCGCAAAGATTTGCAGCACGTGGGTCCACCTGAGCTGGGGCAATTCAGGACCTTCCCTTTCCGTTCTCTCAAAGTATCGTTGAGGAGCGGTTGATTCGCAAAATGCGGCGAGTCGGAACCCAAACGCCAGCCGCAAAGCAGCGCCCCAAGAGAGCAACCTACAAGCAGTCTTGAAGCCCACCTTTCGTTTCTCCGAAAACATTCCACATGTGTGTGCGTGCGGGGTTGGTTTAAAGGGAAACCATGGAAGTTGCTCGTTTTGGGACCCCTATTCTGACGCACGGTGTCAAGGCCCCATGCCCGCCGGACGCTTTCCGGGTAAACAGGCTACGGGCGCTTCAAGGCCTATGCCACATGGCGCTGATGGGCATGTTGCTTTTGAGGGTAGCTTTTTGGCGCTGTCCACAGGCACAGGGTAGGCAAAGGGAAACGGGTTACCCCAAATTAAACCCGCGTGGGTATGGATCTTGATTGGGGACACACACACACTGATGGCCATCATTTAGATCCGGAGTTCTGTCCAGCCGCGTTTGAGGGATTCCTGCAATTCATGGCCACGCAAATGCCATAGCCATGTGGTGAAAGCCACTGCCCATTTGCTACCGCACCCTTCCCTTTCTGACAAGTAAAGCTTTTTTTTTTAACAAATTATACTAAACAACAACAACCGGGCATCGGAGATTAAGTTGTTACCCCCACTTAAGCAACGTTATCCTGTAGTTACCTCACCTTAGGGGTATTGTGCCATAGACTTCCCCCCAACTGTACCGCCCCCTGTTCGCAGGCCAGCTCTGAGACCCGCACAGCCGCTGCCAAGTTCCAGGCGCTGCCTACCCGACGATCTGATTCCCAGGCCACTTCTCAAAATCCACAGAAAAGAGACTTTCGCATGCCCTACCATGACTGACCCCCCTAGAACCATACCTGTGTGACCCGCAAACACCTGGGCGCCCCATTTGGGCAGCGCAAACTACGCCCGGCCTGCGGGTCTGTTCGCCTGGCCAATGGACCAAGCTCACGCCTCTGCCTTGTTCAGCTGTTTTAGTGCCCAGCTTCTTTTCAGTGCCCTCGATTCATTTTTTGGGTGCTATGATCCACTGTGGTTACAATAAGGGCACTTAGTCCTAAATCAAAGAGGTCGCTTAAGCCACCAAAAGGGCTTTTAGACCCTCAGGGTTACCCTCCCCAGCAGATCCTCCTCAGTCCCGGCAAATCGAGCCGCAGCGACACGTGAATGCGAGTGACGCTCACACGGGGGCGGGGCCGACGCTGGGCAAAACGAATGACACTCACGCAGGGGGGACTGACACGTCACCTTTTCATGGGGTAAGTGACCTCGATTCGCTCCCCCACTGACACTCAAATGACACGCATTGACACTCAAAACGCCATGTTCGGGCTTTCCGGGTCGGCCCAATCAAATGTGGCACTTGTCACACTTCGACACGGGTTGCTATTCGATTTCAACAGAATCCCAACCCCTATCAAGCCAAAAAGGGCACTTAGCAACGAATCAAAGGGTCACTTAGGCCACCGACACGGCCTTAAGTGCTGTCGATTCAAAAACACGTCAAGTGCCCTTCATTGGAGGCACTAAATATATGCTCCTTTGTTTCATGGGACCTGTCTAAAGTTTCAGACCTCTTTCAAGACCTTTTCTACTTAAGACCGAATTCAACCCTTGCCGACACTGACTCGCTCTTGCGGGATCATGGAAATCAAGGTCTACCTTTTGGGACCTTGATTGGAAGAACAAATGGGAAACCTAGGGAAACCTAGAAGTCAAAAGGTAGGTTGGCGTTGAACTGTGTTGAACTTTGGGCAAATGGCTCTTGGGACTCGCCGGCCCGTCCGAGCCCTCAGCCCCACCTCCAAGGCACGTACCTGGCAGAGCCCCAAAGGCTGGCATTTAATCCCATTGGAACACGACTGTGAATCAGCACAGTGGGTATGAACGAGTATGAACTTTACTTCGGCACCCTTCTGGTGTACATGATTGGGGACTTGTGCCTCGCCCATGCGGTTCACAGCCGCATGCGCTCAATACAGTCTGGTTGAGTTTCGCCATGGACCGGACATACTGGGCTTCAAAGCGGCCTAGCGTTTGCTGTCAAAAGAACATGATTCTGCCTACCATCCAATGCATTAATAACACTTTTTGGCCTCCTGTCAACTGTCACAAACTTTGGCAGCTACTGAGAGCATGAAAGCCCCCGCCTGCTCCTCGAGTAATTGTATGACCTGAAGCCAGGTGATAGGACTTGGCGAGTCGAGCCGAATCCCCTTCTCTGCGTCACATGCAAAGGCCCATCACCCTGTGAGCATACGGGGAAGAACCAGGCCGCTCCACCCCAGGACAAGGTTCTGCGGGTACTTTGTCAGCAAGAGCTCTCTGGTAGAAGACTTCCGAGAAACTTTCGGAGAACGGGTCCCAATGGTGATGCCAAAGGACTGGAGATGGGCCAACTTGTTCAAACATATCTTGGCACGCATGGTTTAGCTCCTTTTCCTCTAAAGGGGCACCATGTCTAACAGTTTAAACATCCCAAGCCTTGGCCAACTTGGGACTTGGGCTCCTGCAAGGGCAACGCCGCCCTTCTGCCGCACCATCTCCTGCGAGGCAAAGGCAGCCTTCTTGCCAAGGGAAAGATCATTCCTGGGCACACCTGAAATGGACACTTTTGATGTAAGGAACCTTCATAGGGAAACTCTCAGTGAGTGCACAACGCGCCTCGCGCCTCTCGGCCGCACTTTTCCCCGCATCTCTCTGGCATTTCGGCAGGTTGGATCATCCCCTTGACCAAAGATACTGCAAGGGTGGGGCAGTCTTTGGACGCGAGCCTGGGAACCACCGCCGCGTCGTGTGCCAAACGCCATTTTGGGCCCCACCCTGGCGAGGGCAACCTTTCGCCTTTCACCAGGTTCCTCGCATGGCAGATGCGTGGACCGAAATCTTCATTCGGTCGCAGTGTGCCACGTCGAGTAAAGGCCCTGCAATATCCCACACAGCCAACAACTACCCGTTGAGTTTCTCAGTCCCAAAGGACTGGGAACCAAAGCCCAACCCTTTGCAACCTTGATTTGGCCGCAACTGTAATCAAAAAGCTCAGCTTTGGGCAACGCAGTTTTATGTACTCAATATCTCCCTACCCAATACATTGTAAAAGCACTGGGATACTCCAGGACTGCAAGGAGTG